CCCCAAAACCCCAAAACCCCAAAACCCCAAAACCCCAAAACCCCAAAACCCCAAAACCCCTCGACAGCTATTTAAACTGAAAGAATAAGATTCGTTTGAAAGTGTGAGAACCAAATTAAGTTTACATTCCGTCCATTTCATCTTCGTCTTCGTCATACTCTCCTTCTTCTTCAGCAGTGGCATCCTGGTATTGTTGGTATTCAGAGACGAGATCGTTCATGTTGGACTCGGCTTCGGTGAACTCCATTTCGTCCATTCCTTCTCCGGTATACCAATGCAAGAAGGCCTTTCTTCTGAACATGGCAGTGAATTGTTCGGCGACTCTCTTGAACATTTCCTGGATGGCAGTCGAGTTTCCGATGAAGGTAGAAGCGAGCTTGAGTCCCTTTGGTGGGATATCGCAGACAGAGGACTTGATGTTGTTTGGAATCCACTCTACGAAGTAAGAGGAGTTCTTGTTCTGGACATTCAACATTTGTTCGTCAACTTCTTTAGTGGACATTCTTCCTCTGAACATGGCGGAGGCAGTCAAGTATCTTCCGTGTCTTGGGTCGGAAGCACACATCATGTTCTTGGCGTCGAACATTTGCTGGGTGAGCTCTGGAACAGTCAAGGCTCTGTATTGTTGGGATCCTCTGGAGGTCAATGGGGCGAATCCAACCATGAAGAAGTGGAGTCTTGGGAATGGGATCAAGTTGACAGCCAACTTTCTTAAGTCAGAGTTCAACTGTCCTGGGAATCTCAAGCATGAGGTGACTCCGGAGATACAGGCAGAGACCAAGTGGTTCAAGTCTCCGTAGGTTGGAGTGGTCAACTTCAAGGTTCTGAAACAGATGTCGTACAAGGCTTCGTTGTCAATGACCATGACTTCGTCAGCGTTCTCAACGAGCTGATGGACGGAGAGGGTAGCGTTGTATGGCTCAACGACGGTATCTGAGACTTTTGGGGATGGGAAGACTGAGAAGGTCTCCATGATTCTGTCTGGGTACTCTTCTCTGATCTTGGAGATCAAGAGGGTTCCCATACCGGATCCAGTTCCTCCTCCGAGAGAATGAGTGATCTGGAATCCTTGGAGGCAGTCACATCCTTCAGCTTCCTTTCTTACAACGTCGAGGACGGAGTCGATGAGTTCAGCTCCTTCGGTGTAGTGTCCCTTGGCCCAGTTGTTTCCAGCACCAGTCTGACCGAAGACGAAGTTGTCTGGTCTGAAGAGCTGTCCGAATGGTCCGGCTCTGACGGAGTCCATGGTTCCTGGTTCGAGATCCATCAAGACGGCTCTTGGCACGTATCTACCGCCAGTTGCTTCGTTGTAGTAAACGTTGATTCTTTCGAGCTGCAAGTCAGAGTCTCCGTGGTAGGTACCAGTTGGGTCAACACCATGTTCGTCAGAGATGACTTCCCAGAACTTAGCACCAATCTGGTTTCCGCATTGTCCTCCTTGAACGTGTACGATTTCTCTCATCTTTAGATTTAAATATTTTTATAAAACTTCAAATAAAATTTGAATAAATGGGGTTTTGGGGTTTTGGGGTTTTGGGGTTTTGGGGTTTTGGGGTTTTGGGGTTTTGGGG